GTCAGCTAGCATAACATAAATTTGTATATAGATTCAAAATAGAAAAATAGCTTCTATACTATTAAGACTGTTAAGTATTTTACTATTCATCAAGTTATTAATTTAAAAAAAAAAGACAAAATTACAAATAAAAATAAAATTGTAAGTAATAAAAAATATTATTTTAAATATTCTTAGAATTAAAGATTCAAAGTTCTAATAACGTAATTAAATTGTATAAAGTTATTGAGAAATATTGATGTAAGATAATTATTCATTAGAAATATTTTCATAATTATATTAATATATTAACTCAAATAACTGATGTACTTATAAAGCAATGATGATAATTAATTTTAGAATGATATATAAGTGAAGAATTTTTTGTTTTAATCTTGTTGATTGTTACTATTAAACTATAAACAAAAGAAAAAATAAAAAAAACAGTTCATCTTTTAACCTTTCTTCTTTATAATAACCAAAATGATCATTGACTAAACAAAGTATAACGAATAATGAAAAAAATATCACAAATTCATCTTGAACTTTATTGCAATCAAAATCATCTGCTTCAACTATACCATTGACTAATTCTTCTCAAGCTTAGTTACAATCAAAATCACCTACTTCAAATACCTTAACTATGCCATTACAATCATCTCAAATAGCGCAATCAATTACATCAACACAATCAACAAATTTAAACAACTTATTGCAGTCTATCTCTTTAACTAAAAAAAAAAAAGCTGATACAACAACTTCTGACCTTTTCATGACTAGTACTAGCAATAAGTTTAGCAAACAATCACCTATGAGTTTTGTAAGTTTGATTTTATTTTATTTTTTATTTTTTTTTTTAAAAAAAAAATACTTAAAAATATAATGATTCTTTTATAATTTAGCCTCAAGTCATTGTCGACTCTTCACCTTCTACTGTTCAACATGATGAAAATCTAGGTTAATATGTTTATATCGTTAATATGTATTTTAGCTTTTAATATTTGATTAATAATATATTATTTATTAGTACTACCACCTGTTGATTTACGAACTCTGTCAAAGATTTTAAGCGTCAGACAAAAAAGCTTTACCCAAATTGAACATATTACTAGAAGACAAGCTAAACTTGAATATCTTATCACCGAACAATGAAAGCAGCTTGAACAGGTTCTTAAAAAGTTGGATGATACTGAAGGAATATATAATCCTGCTATAGGCAAAAAAAAAGAGAAAAGAAAATGAAAGAAAATGGCAAATGATTTGTTTCAAGTAATTGCTCTTTAACTTATTAATTAGATTTCATTTTTTGTATTATTCATCAATGTATTTATTACATGTACTATAGGGAGCAGTTAGAAAACTTTCATATAAATTATTTCATGACCATAAGCAAATAAGCGATACTAAAATGAAAGTGCGACTCAAAAATAAGTTAGAAAATAATAAAGATTGTGCAGAACACTTGCATCTATTAGAAGAAAAAGATTTTATTCGAAAGATTGTAGCATGAAAAATTATATTCAGATGTCAGTATTTTTTAATAATATTACATATAACATATATATATAATCTTTAATAATGTTACATGTAATATATTTATATATATTAACTTTGTTTATACATAGATGTTAGCAGCAAATCATCTAAAAAAGGGTACTATGTTTGTCATGTTAAAGAAGAACTTTGGGCTACCTTTAGTATTAGTAGAATTAAACCATTCAATGAACACAATACAAAAGACTAAATAAAACAATAAAAACAGGATTCCAGAAAAGCTTATAAAGATTTATATAATCTGAATAATCTAACTAATCCAAATTCTGATACTTTTCTTGCTTCAATTATACAATACGTTTTTGTTTCTGAAGACGAACAGACTCATATAAATGCTATCTGGACTTAAGCAATCTTGGAAATTATCTTTGATGAACATTACCTTTTCGCCAAAATTGATTCTGAAGTTATTGATATTTGGTTCCAGAAGCTTTTAAATGAAAATAATATGGTAATGTATATTTATTGTGTATAGTAACCAATAAATTAGTATTAGTTACTATACACCTAATACTAATTATTCTATTAATTACCATTCGGGTTTTTTTTTTATTTTCTTGAATTTTTTTTAATTTTTAGAATATGGAAATTACTTACTACGAATCTCATGAATTAAATAAAAATAACGATAATGGAAATAATGATGATGAAAATAATGAGAATTTGTCTAAATCTTATCATGAAAATGACCAAAGCGATAATATCGATGAAGATTGTAACGATGATGATGACAATTATATTGAATAGAAGCAGAAAATAAGAATAATAAATAGCTATAGAAGGTTGTTTTACTTGAATAGTTATAGTTATATAACTCACTGTTTAATAAATTAGTTAATAGCATATTGTTAGTTTACTAGTTTATTAACATATTAGCTAATAAATTTGCAAGTTTTTTAAACTATATTAAATAATAAAAAATAGTTGTTTAATACATTATTTTGAAGTATTTAAATAGTATTGATTAATGGTTTAATTGGTGATTCACCAGTCATCTGGTGCATGATCATAGTGTAACGTGATGCAGATCACTATGTAAATTATATATACTCTGAATGTAGCGTTCACCCAAGGAAAACTTTTTTTCTTACTAAATTAATCGATCTTCTCGATTAAGTGAAAATTGTAGAGCTCGTCGAGGCGCATCTAACGGCGGTAAGAACATCAAAATCGGTCTAGTAGTCGCCGAGATATCGCTAAAAAACGATTGGCTAGCTATGTAAAATTCTATGTAAACAAACTATTGTTTATATAGAAATTTTACATAGTCTGTCAATCGTTTTTTAGCGATATCTCGGCAACTACTAGACCGATTTTGATGTTATTACTGTCGTTAGATGCGCCTCGACGAGCTCTACAATTTTTACTTAATCGAGAAGATCGATTAACTTAGTAAAAAAAAGTTTTCCTCAGGCGAACGCCACATTCGGGTATATGTGATTTACTTAGTGATTTGTGTTATGTTATACTATGATCATGCACCAGGTGACTGGCAAATCACCAATTAAGTTATTTAATACAATAAACTTTGTTGTTAAACAAGTTAATTAACTAAAATTAGTTGTTTAATACTAATTGTTTAATATAGTTAATCTGTATAGGATTCATTTTTCTATACCATTTTAGCATTAAATAACATCATGTATAAACTAATACTTTTCAAACACCTTTGAAACTTCCTGATGATAATCATATAATAATTTTTTGTATAAACAAATCCAAGTATGTCTATTATTTGATATATATTTGATATTGTAGAAAAGGTTGCTAATATTAATATTAGGATTTAATTATTTTTTTTTTGATATTATATATGCTATATTAGCAAAATTTTTTAAGCAGATATACATCGATATATAGCAGTTAATCAATATATATTAATTAAAAATTATCAATATATATTGATTAACTACTATATATCGATATATATTATTAACAATAAATAATGATTATTGATATATAACGATTATAATCACTACTGATTATTAACAATTTTATAAAATTTGACCAATTTTTTTAAACTTTAACATTAATTTTCTTGATAACTATCAATCCAAATTAGCTCAAATTTTTATCACATATAGTATATATATTCAACTATAATA